TGTGTTCCTTAAACTTCGAGGCAAAACGAGTACTTAATTCGATAGGGTGGTGTTACACCCAAATCTGGCCTCCATCCCTATCTCGAGTGGTCTAAATTCGGGGTAGGAACGCTCCTGGTAAACCATCCCACTCCACTGCTAATACAAGCCCTTCTGTAGTCTTTTAAAGACCACTGAAGGACCTCTTAGTGATCCAAGTGGAGCATTCCTGGCAGGCAGTTTATTGGCTGGAGTTTGGGAGATGGAAGATTCTCTCAGTAAAAGGCAGTCAGTGCATGATTGAGGGACTGGACATTGTGTGGGAGATGATGTTTTAGCACTGATATTCCCCACCCTTGCAACCAACCACCCTCCTCACCCTAATAACCCTCAACCCTGAAACACATTCTCCTCTCCGCCCCTCCAAAAGTAATCACTTGCCTCATATCCTGTTCCACGCGCAGCCATGGCCTTCTCTAGATTAGCCAATAGCCCTTACAGTATGGGACTTTCACCCCTATGATCTCAATTCCAGATGAATGCCTGATTGACATTAGATTCAGCTGGCATTGTCTTAAAGAGTCCCTCACTAACAGTCATTCATATTCTAATCCTATCTTCCAGCAATTGGCCTGTAACCCTGAATTCTATGGCATTCCAAGTGTTCATCTAAATAGTTCTTAAATGTCTTGAGAGTTCCCACCTCTATCAGCCTTTTAGACAGTGAGTTCAGATACCCACAACCCTCTAGGTAAAGAAAGGTTTTCCTCAAATCATCTCTTTACTTCCTGCTCCTTGCCTTAAAATGCACTTTCTGGTTATTGATCCCTCTACTAAGGGGAAAAAGTTTCGCACTATCTCTTTATTATTGCCCCTCAGAACTTTGTTCATCTCAATCAGTTGTTTCCCCCCCACTTCGTCACCCCACCAACCTTCTTTGGTGTCAGGAAAACAACCTCAGTCTGTCTAGTCTCTCTTCATAGTGGAATTGCTCCAACCCAAGGAGTGTCCTGGTGAATCCGCTCGAGTGCAAACACATCCTTCCTATAATGTGGCAATGAGAACTGCATACAGTACATTCCAGATCTGGTTTAACTAATGTTATCAACAGGTCTATTATAACCTCCTTGCTGTTGTACTCAAGGACTTGAGTAATAAGCACAAGTATGCAATATACCTACTTAACCATCTTATCTGTCTGTCCTACTGCCTTCAAGGATCTATGAACATGCATACTATTATCCTTCTAATCCTCTGTATTTCCCAAGGTCCTACCATTCAATTTGTACTCCCTTTCCTTGTTAGTCCTTCCAAAATGCATCTCCTTTCATTGTCAGGATTAAATTCCTTTTGCCACTGTTTAGCCCATCTGACCAGTCTGTCTATATCAAACTGTATCCAAGGATTTCCTCCTCACTAATTACACCAACAATTTCCTTGGCTTCTGTGAATTTACTGATCATGCCTCTTACATTCATGTCTAGATCATTGACGTCCACTACAAACAGCAGGTGACCCAGTACCAAACTCTGTGATGCATCACTGAACACCAGGCTTCCAGTCAAAAAAACACCCTTCAACCACCATCCTCTGCTTCCTGCCGCTAAGCCAATTTTTGATCCAATTTTCCAAATTGCCCTGGATCCCATAGATTTTTAGCTTTTTGACCAGTTGGCAATACAAAACCTTATCAAAAGCCTTATGAAGTCCAAAAAGATGACATCAGCTGCACGACCCTCATCTACTCACCTAGTTACCTCCTTGAAAAATTCAATCAAATCTGTTAGACATGAGCTCATCTTACAAAACTGTACTGACTATCCTTGATCAATTCTTGCCTCTCCAAGTGGAGATTAATTCTGTCCCTAGAATTTTTTCAATAGTTTCTCTACCACTGCTATTAAAGTCACTGTCCAGTAGTTTCCTGCTTTATGTCACCTTTCTTGAATAATTATACCACATTAGCTGTTCTCCAATCCTCCAGCACCCCTCCTGTAGACAAAAAGGATTTGAAAATTAATGTCAGAGTCTCTGCAATCTCCTCCACTGCCTCTCATAGCAACCTGGGATATATCTCATCTGGGCCACAGGGTTTATCTACTTTCAACCCCATTAAACCACAAATGCCTCCTCCCTCTCAATGCTAATTTGTTCAAGTACATCACAGAGCACTGCTCTGATTTCTAAACCTACATCATCCTCCTCTATAGTGAATACAGATGTAAAAAATTCGTTTCAAACCTTAGCTACATTTTCTGGCTCCATACACATTGCTACTTTGATCTTTTATGGGCCTTACTTTTTCCGTGGTTATTCTTTCGCCCTTAATATACTTATAAAATTTCTTTGTGTTTTCCTTGATGTTACCATCGTGTCCCCTCTTCACTCAAATTTATTTTTTAAGCACTCCCTGCATTTATAGGCTCCTCTAGGGCATTTACTGTTTGAGCCCTCAGTATCTATGACAAGCTTCCTTTTCTTTCCTCATCTAATCTTGTACATTCCTTAACATCCAGGGTTCTTCTGACTTGTTGGTCCTACTCTTCACCTTTTTAAAGGAACATGTTTGTTCTGCACTCTCGCTGTTCCTCTTTTAAATGTCTTCCACTGATCAATATTACAACATCCCCCCTCCTCAACTACACCACCTACCAACCACCACACCCCTTCCAGTCTCATCTGAAGACTCTGTATCCTTTTTTACTCCTCCACTCACAAGCATACTAATGTTGCCCTGCCCATGTCTCACAACGCCCTTCCCAGCTGGAAGTCAGACCCAGGGCTCTCACTTTGTGCACCGTGCAGTGACCAGGAATCAGTTGAGAGTGGGAGTGCTAACCCGCAATAGTGAGAACGCCAGGTGTGGGCAGAATATGATTGAGAGGCAGCACACTGCTCCACACACACCACACCTCCCAGTCTTTACCACTATTCCCCTTCCCTTACCAGAACCATACCACTCCACAGCAACCAAAGATGTTAATCTCATTGTGGCTCAAATATAACCTATTGGACATGCTCAGATCTCACCTTCCCCAGAAACAGTTCAAAAATATTTCAAAAACATTAATATTTTATAGCAATCTATGGGGAGGCAATGGCTTGGTAGCATTATTGCTAGACTATTAATCCAGTCAGTTGAATTACGGATTCAGTGAAAATCTGGATTTAAGAGTCTAATGATGATAATTGTTGATTGCCAGAAAAACCTATCTGGTTCACTAATGTCCTTAAGGGAAGGAAACTGTCGTCCTTACTTGGTCTGGCCTACATTGACACCAGACCCACAACAATGTGATTGACTCTTAACTGCCCTCTGGGCATTTAGGGATGGGCACTATATATATGATAAAAATCCCTAACAGCAGTTTCTTACTAAGCAATGAATTTAAAGATTTTCTGTGTTGTCACTCTTGTCTTTTTTCAAACCTAGTGTGGGCTGGTGCCAGTAGCTGAATGATGTCCCTCTGTGACTCTCGGGTAAGTTGTTATTTCTCAGTTAATCCTTATCACCAATCAACCCAACATTTTTTTTTCTAAAATTGGATGTTCTTCCAAAGTTGCAGCTAGTAAACCGGTCCACCTATCCTGGGTTGAAGTTGAAGTTGAAGTTGAAGTGCCAGGCTCATCCTGGGCCTCAATATGAATAATACTGAAATAACTGCATAGAGGCCGGTATCCTGTCACCAAGTCATCCTTTATTTACTTGTATGTAGTACACTGGCTGCGACCAGAGTCAGTGCCAAAAGACAGGAGGATCTCTGAATCCCCTGTTTATATCTGTTTATATCTGTCAGCCAGGTCTCCCTGATTGGCCCAGGTTAACAACCCCAATCAAGGATCTCATAGTCAATGAGAACCACCTGGTTCACTACACCCTTCCCTGCTCCCCACTCCTCCCTCCACTATGTCTGGGGATGTAGACCTGGTCTTTCACTGGTAGCTTTTCCTGGGGCGTTTTCACCCCAGGTCAGGTTCCTCTGACTTGGACTCGGACACGGGCGGCATGTACCAGACCATAGCCCATCTCTTGTATCCACAGCATATCGGGAGACTTTTCTGCTCTTATTCAGTGGTAACGGTATCGAGACAGCATCCATCTGAGGTTTCCTTGATACTAGACAAAGGGGGATAACGCATGGTTTTTGACAGGCCTTCTGGCTGTTCTGAGGGGCCAGGTATGTTTTTCTCCTGCCCTCTTTGTGAGGTAACAGCTTTCGGATGATCCATATGTTTGTTCAGGACTGCCTCACCTACATGAACTTTGTATGTCATGGGACCTGACCTCACATCGACCTCGCGTTGTACCCGTGCAGGGCCATTTCTGTGGTTCCAGCACCAAACATCGTCCCCTGAAGTAAATTGTCTCTCTTGCTTGGAGAAAGCATGTGGCTGGCATTGACCTTTCCTGCTGCCGCTTCACCCTCACCAACCACCCCCCCAGGTATCAGACTATCAGGTTCAACCTGGTACAGAGTCTTCTCCCATCAGCAACTCTGCTAGAACTATTCCTGTAGTTGCGAGAGGGGTGATTCTGTAATTGAACAGAAACCAGGACAGTTTGGTGTTAAGTGAAGTTGTAGGGTATTTCTTTAAGCCTGCCTTCAATGTTTGGACTGGTCTTTCCGCCAGACCATTTGATGATGGATGATGTGGAGCTTTCCAAACATGTTGAATGCCACTTGACCTCAAGAAATACTCGAATTCCCTGCTGGTAAATGATGTCCCAATGTCTGTAACCGATACTTCACAATGCTTGCAGCTTTTCCGTCATTATCCATGAGTTTGCTGAATGAACTCTAGCACGTCTAACCACTTTTGAACAGGCATTCACAATGACAAGTAACATTGAGCACATTGAACAAGCATCGCCGACATGTAACTGAGTCCAGGGCTTACCTGCCATTCCCACGAATGGGGGGGCATGGCAGCAGCAATTCTTGTCCTTGTTGGCACTCTGGGCACTGCCCCACCAATAGCTATGTTAGCATCCAATCTTGGCCATGAGACATAACATCTTGCCAACATTTTCATTTTGGAAACCCCTGGATGACCGTGGTGGAGCTCAGCCAGTATCTGATGGCAATAAGGGGAGGCATTGCATGTCAGCGCCACCTTTTGCTTTGAATCATAGTAGACCAACGCGTTTGATGATGACAGCTGCTTTTACACATCCCTAAAGACTACTTCTTGGCTACGTGACCATTTCCAAGACTGACCCTTTTTCAACAGCAGATGTAAGGATGCCAAAATGGAGGCCAGGTTACATATGAATTTTCCACAATAATTCACCAACCCAAGACCTAAACTCTGGTACAGCTTTCAGAGCTGGGGCACCTTTGGTTGCCTTCACTTTATCTTCCAATGGATGTAAACCGGTTTTGCTGACTCTGGAGCCAAGGAGGTCACGGGGTGCCTGGAACACAGTTTTCCCTTCTAAGGCGTACGTCCGCCTGGAAGAAACATTTAAACACTATGTCCAAGTTCTCCAAATGCTCCTTATTCGTCTTACCGATTATTAACACGTCATCCAGATAAATTTCAATCTGGGGAAGCCCTTTATTTGCAACATCCACTCCTATTCCCCATAGTAATATGCCATCCTTTGTGGAAGTCTTGTCTTGCTGGGTCCAGAAATGTTTCAGACCTGTTTGTGATGGCCCTTCTGTTTCCCCCATTACCACCAGCTGTTTTAGTTTTGCCAATACACAATCTTTTTGTGTCCACAGTCGGATATTGTCAGAGGTGATTGGAAGGTTTGCCAGAAAGTTTAAAACCAGAACAAACTCTTCCAGGAGAGGCACCAGTAACTGCCAGTGGAAGGCGCCTTAAGGCATCCACATTTGCCACTTGGCCTCCTGGACAGCATTACAAGTTGTAATTGTATACACTGAGAATAAGGGTCCATCTCTGAATTCAACCTGAATCTATGGACAGCACGGCCCTATTCTCTTCAGTGGGAGGCAATTCAAGGTATCAGCATTAGGCACTTGACCTCCTGGCTGGTGTTCCAACTTATGCTTGTATGCAGTAAGAATAAGGACCCACTGCTAAATTCGACCAGAAGCCACAGGCAGCACTGCCTTGTCTTCTTTAAGTGGCTATAATAGGGGTGTTTGGTCCATTACTATGACAAATTCATGTCCATAAAGGTATTGGTGGAACTTTCTCACAAGAAAGATGACTGCCAACTTTCCTTCTCTATCCGGGCATATTTGCGTTCAGCATCAGTCAAAGTCTGGGAGGGATATGCTATTGGGCATTCCTCTCCATTCAGCCACCAATGAGCTACTTACCCTGATATCATAAGGGGAGGCATTGCATGTCAGCACCACCTTTCGCTTTGAATCATAGTAGACCGACGCGTTTGATTATGACAGCTGCTTTCACACGTCCCTAAAGGCTACTTCTTGGCTACGTGACCATTTCCAAGGCTGACCCTTTTTAACAGCAGATGTAAGGATGCCAAAATGGAGGCCAGGTTACATATGAATTTTCCATAATAATTAACCAACCCAAGACCTAAACTCTGGTACAGCTGTGAGAGCTGGGGCACCTTTGGTTGCCTTCACTTTATCTTCCAATGGATGTAACCCAGTTTTGCTGACTCTGGAGCCAAGTAGGCCATGGGGTGTCTGGAACACATTTTCCCTTCTAAGGCGAATGTCCGCCTGGAAGAAACATTTAAACACTATGTCCAAGTTCTCCAAATGCTCCTTATTCATCTTACCGATTATTAACACGTCATCCAGATAAATTTCAACCTGGGGAAGCCCTTGGAAAATGTTCTCCATCGTCCTTGGAAAAAGTCGCAGGCTGATGATGCTGTAAATGGCAGCCTTGTATATTGATACAAATCCTTACGGGTATGAATTGTGGAGTACATCTGGGACTCCCCATCTACCCACAATTGCAGGTAGGCATAGCTCATGTCCAGCTCATGAAGGGCAGCCCACCTGGCAATTTTGCATGTATCCCTCTATACGAGGGATTGGGTATTTATGCAGCTGCAAGAAACGCTTTACCATTTGCTTAAAATCCCCACAAAGGTGGACCAAGTTGTCAGACTTCACAATCGGTATGACTGGTGCTGGCCATTCTGCGGATTGCACTGGTTTGACAATTCCTTCACTTTCCAACCTCCTGATTCCATAAGGTAAATGACACTGGGCGGGACTTGCAGAATCGCGAAATTGCTTCCTGGTCAATATGTAAAGTGGCCTTGGCCCCTTTGATGGTCCTAGGCCTTCCTGAAAAACCCCTAGATATCTCATTAGGACCTCACTCAGGCAGCTATTTTCCAAACGAAAAATATTGAGCCAATCTAGGTGAATCTTTCTCAACCAATTCCACCTGAGTAGGCTTGGCCTTGATCCTCTTACTACAATCAGCGGTAACTCCACCAACTGCTTCTCATAGGAGACCAGAACTGTAGTCGTACCCTTAATCTGTAGTGGTTCCTTGGTATACATTCTCACTCTGGCTGAGGTCTTTTGCAAACTTAAGAGTAGACGTCCAGAGCAAAACTTGTTAAAGACAGTCTCTGCAATCACTGATACAGTTGCGTCAGTATCAACCTCTGTGGGAGACAGGTGACTATTTAACCAGACATTAATTTCAGTTGGTCCTGATTTGGATGTTGCTAATCAATTTAACTGTTCCACCCCACTTTCCAGGGTGTGCACTGTCTTAAATACCAGCCTAAGAGTTCTCTACATTAAGTCAGGCTTTGTAGGACTCCTTTGCTGTCTCGGGTCCATGTACCAGCAGCAGCTACATTTGCCTGCTGGCCCAGATCCTGAAGAACTTTTTAGTTATTTGACTGAGGCCTGGCTTTGTTGTGGGGTTCAGCAGTGGGCTGGCTTAGAGTCCCTCTGCTCAGGATGTGCTCTGCATAAGGCTTGGCGATTGCCTACACTCAAGTAGCATTCCCCAAGCTCAGTTAGAGAGATGATGGTGTCCATTCCCGTTGGGATGCCCTGTGGCTCCCATGCTGCATTTTCTACTGAAAAAGCTATTTGTAGTGCCTGTTTGAAGTCCAGTTGGACTTCAGCTAGTAGGTGCTTGTGCATGGTTACATCATTAATCCCACACACCAATGGTCCCTCAGCATCTCATTCAGGGCTTACCCAAAGTCACATGCCTTTACTAGTTGTCTTAACCTCTTCAAAAATCCCATTACAATTAACCTGGTTCTCAAATAGCTGAATAAAACTGATAGCGTCTCAGAGTTAGAGGAGGTTTGGAGTTGTAATATTCGTTAACCAAATCCATCAACTCTTGGGAGATTTTAGTGTCTGGTGCCTCTGGGAGAGTTAAGCCCTTAGAAACCGAAAATTCTGCAGGTCTACTCATTGTTTTTCATCTGCCCCAATGTTGTTTGCTCGGAAAAGATGTCGCATTCTTTCCACATACTGGGCCCAGTCTTCGATGGCAGGATCGAATGGGTCAAGCTTCCCAAATAGCGGCATGATGCCAGA